GGCTCTTATTAGAGCTTAATAGGCCATCAGATATTGATGGTCCATTTTGGATTGTTACACCCCTCTTTGATTTTAAATACCCCTATAAAAGTGAAAACTAAATAATATGATTTATTTAAAGAAAACTTAAATATAATTAAGGGTAGGGAAAATTGAGGTATGACAAGTGTATGAGCAGAGGCTGGAGAGAGCAGAGAGGTTGTTTAGTGTGGTTGAAGAAGTTTTTTTTTTCTTTTTGTATTTTCTTCCTCTTGAGCAGTTCTGAACATGTTCATTTATAGGCCGGACTAGTGATGTTTTATGGGAAAAATGAAGGATAAGATCAAATAAAAAATTGACTAACAAGTTTAAGGTACAACTTTGTTTTGTTGTTTTGTATTTTCTACTTCTCTTTTGTCTTGTTGCTTTTTTGATGTAGTTTTTGTTTGACACATTTTGGGCAATTTTCTTTGGGCAACAAGTATTGTGACAGGTTTGGCAAAGTAGACAGCAAGGTTATGATTTTTGGTAAGGATCAAGGTTTGAATTTTTTGGGAAGCAGTAGGTTTTTGCAAGTTTTCAAAGGCATGTGACTTTTGGATCAAGTTTGGAAGAGGATTGGTCAAGGCTTGAAGATTAAGATCAAGTTAGCATAAGTTTAGGAGTTTTGGGATTTTAGAGCTTAAGTTTTGATTAGTTTTCATGATGTAAATGAATAATGGTGATTTGTAATGATGATGGATATTTAAATGAAGTTGATGATGTATTATATCCATAATTTGAATAAACCAATTTCTTCTGCCTTTGGATATCATGAATGAATGAGATTTAAATGAAACTTGTGAACTTGAATGAATATTGGAGATGAGTTTGAATGAAATAGTGTCTCTGCTTGAAAACCTTGAATGGTTGTTATAATATTGAAGGATATGCACCTTGAAGTTTAAGTGAAAAACTTTGAACTCTTTGTAAATTGATGAAGTGTCTTGAAATTGAACTACATAACTCTTGAAATTTCTCTTGTGGCATAAGGTCTTAAAAATTTAGTCACATAAGAGACTTGGATATCCTTGTATGAAATTATGAATGATGATTGAATGGACTTCAAACTTGAATGAAATTAGAATGAATCTTGAACCAACATGAATGGGTCATCCATCTTTGCATGCTTAAAGAATCCTCGTTCCAATCTCAAAATATCACTTGAATGACTAAATCCCACTTGAATGAACTTGTCTTGATGACAAATCTTATTTGACACAAAACACTTTTGTCAAGGACTTTGAATAAATTGAATTATGATGATATGTACTTGTGAATATTTTGGATGGATCTTATTTGAAAACCTTGATTCCATACATGAATATTTTGAATCTTGAATCATGTTTAGATGAAACTTTGACCAAAACTTGTGTGCACCTTGTACTTCCACAAGAAATTGAATCAAGATCAACCATGCCATGCTTGAAGAATCTTAGTCCAATAGATGAAATTCAAAAGAATTCCATGTATCCATTATCCTTAATGTCTTGCATTAAAAGAAATAATTTATGGAAGAATTAAGCATAAAACCCTAGTTGATGGGTGATAGACATATGATACTTCTAACTTTTCTTGGAAAGAGATCTTTATCAATACACCTTGAGTTCAATGCAATAAGTCTTAACCCGATGATGAACACGAGCATGACCATAAGAAGATACAACTTGATTGAAAAGCATTACCGAAATATTTAGATGAATGAATAAACCTCAAAAGTCTAATTCCATACTTGAATGCTCAAAGGAGAACCAGATGAAATCAAGCTTATTTGATATGTACACCTCAAAACCAATGTGAAACCTTAGCTGACACCACCACTGATCTTTTGAACCAAGATGACTTATTAAATGGAAAACAACGATATGAAAATGAACTAATGAAGATGATGCAAATGAATATGCAAAGCCTAAACCAGATAAGAGTAAAATCAGGAGGGAAAATTTTGGGGTAATGCCACTTTAAGGTATCGCAACATATGTTTAGATGAACTAATGAAGAGGATTGAAATTGTGGCAATTCCACTTTAAGGTACCACAACATATGTTTCTTAAACCATGAAAAAAGAAAATAAGGTTCCATTTTTATAAGAGTACATCGTACATAGGGAAACAAGGATTAAGGTAGTCAGAGAAAATTCAATTAGAAGATGACAAAGATTTGACGGTCACTATAAGGTCTATCTAGATCTGTGATCATTTTATAAGACCCTTATTCCTATAGGTCAGAACAAACACGAGCAAGGTCCCCAAATAAGCATTATCAATCCATTGGAATATTTCGAGCACGATCTAGTCTATGTGTGGACCCTTGAGCAATGTGTTTTTATCATTCTACCCGTTACACCTATCACATGAAGATAATGAATAGGTATGAGGAAGGGAAATTTTCCTATATTAATAGTCCCTAAGAGGCAATTGATAAAGTTTATGCTCTAGTTCCCTTCTTATCAACCAATAATGGAGAGAGAAAACGAGGCGAGATAATTCAAAAAAAGGATGTAATTCATCTAGTAAGGAATCACCACCACTATTAGAGAGGTGAATACCATCACAACTCAAAATGAAAAAGAAGTAAAAAAACAAAAGTTAATTAAATAGCAAAATACACCGACGATACTTTAATCATTAGTAAGAAAGGGTGGGGGAACATTCGAAGCATAAAGGCAACTCTCTTGCTATTTGAACTAATGTCGGGTCTTAAAGTGAACTTTCAAAAACGTATGTTGGTTGGGATTAATATTCCAAAAGGATGGCTAGAAGAGGCGTCCAAGATTCTTCATTGCAAAGTTGGATCAATTCCGTTCATTTATCCATTCGATTGGGGAAAACCCAAGGCGAAAAGCGACTTGGAAACCAGTGATAGATGCTCTGAGATCTAGACTTTTATAGTTAGAAGAATAATCATTTGTCCATTGGTGGTCGAGTGGTAACGATTAAATCGGTCTTGTCTACTGTCCTAGTGTATTATCTATCCTTCTTCAAGGCTCTGTCAGGTATAATTTCGAAACTTGAATCTCTCTTTAAACAATTTTTATGGGGGGGAGAGGAGGATAAGAAAATAAATTGGGTCAAATGGGAGAAGGTGTGTAGACCTGTAGATGAAGGGGGATGGGTATAAAAAATGTAAAATTCTTTAACGAAGCCCTCTTGGGTATATGGGATTGGAAGATTAGATGTGAAAGAATGGGTTTATGGTATACAACTATGTCTAATAAATACGAAGATAACATCGATGTCAATAGAATCATGGAGAGACAGTGCTCCACCAAGTGGGCTAACCTAAATGGTTTAGAATTAGGGACTGGTGACCAATCAAACGTATATCCTGTTAGAGAAATTTATAAGAAAATCATGGATTCTAGAAGTTGTTCCACAGATTTTCCGTGGACGAAAATTTGGAGTAAATCAATTCCTTCAAAAGTATCTTGTCTTGTTTGGAGGACGCTCTAGAACATAATTGATACAAAAGATAACTTTCATAAGAGAGGGGTACTAGAACATGAATCTGTTTACTGCTGCAGTGGGTGCGGGTTCGAGGAATCAGTTCCACATCTTTTCTTTGAATGCCCGTTTTTGCAGGTATTTGGTATCATATCTCAAAGTGGATGGGCATTTCAATAACACTGCATAATACAGGGGTGAATCATCTCACTCAATTTGAAAGTCTCATCAACAGTGGCAGAGTTTTCGTAGACAGAGTCAAGGTAAATTGGTTCACAAGCATTTGGTGCATCTGGAAGGCCCGAAATGATAAGGTATTCAAGAACAAGGACTTAAATTTGATTAGTATGGTTGAATTTGTTAAACGATGGTCCTAAGATTGGCTTAAAATCAAATCCAATAGCTTTAAAGATAATTTTGTTGCTTGGTACTCACATCCGAGAACAGTCTTGGGATGCTCCTGCTGACTTTCTGATGGATTGAGGTTAATTTCGCTTGTGGTGCATTCGTCGCGCCTTAGGTGTTCTTCTGGAATTTCACAACTCCAACCTGAGTTATTCGTTGCTGGTTTTTCTTCTGGTTTTGGGGAATCAACATTTGGTCGAAGTCGTACAATATTCGAGCTCCCAATGAGTTACATCTCGCTCCCGAGTCTGCGTTGTTAATTGTTTGTTCTCTTTTGTTGTGTGGTTGTTCTTTCCCAGTGTAAATGAGGGTCATGTAGCTGATTTTTATTTTTACGATTTATGTTATTTTTTTGATTTGTTTCTGCAATTCTATCTGTTCAGTTTGATATGTAAGACTCTCGTTCTGCTTTGTTCCTGCATTTCATTTGTAATGGTTAAGGATTACTGGCGGTGCTGTTATATTTTAATGCATTTTAGCTTTTTTTCAACAAAAAGATTTATATAGCAAAGAAAAAGAACATACCAAGTAAGAAGATTTTAAATATTTGACAAGAAATGAGGAGTTTTGAGGAAGACAATTTTTCTATGGCCCATACCTAAACAACAAAAATTTGCTTTGAAAGAAAAAACAAGATGTAGAGCAAGTGAATATAAAAAAAAAAAAAACTTAAAAGAGGAGAAATAAACAATTCACAACTATTTATACTACACTTTAAATTAAATAAAAAAATGAATAGAGAAGAAATTTCATTCAATACACGACAATAGAGACCTAAATAGTTGGTTCTATTATATTCCATTATCATACATACTCCATGAATTTAATGATACTTTTAAATGCAAAATTCATAATAAAAAAGAAAACAAAAAATCAAAGAAAAGAAGAGGTTCTTTCAGTCTTTACAAGAACAAAAAAGACTTATAAAAAGTCCTAACCTTTTTACCATATCCTTGTCCTCTTCCATCACAATCCCACAAAACCAAAACCCCTTGATCTTCTTCTTCACATAACTACAAGAATGTTTCATGTTATTAGCTCATAGAACTTGAGCTCAAACAAACATTTAACCTTTCTTGTCTTCTCTCTTTTGAACTCCTAGAACTTCATCTAAAATTTCACACCAACCTCAAAATGATAAGCGCTCTAGACTTATACCATGTCCTCACAGCCGTAGTTCCACTCTATGTAGCAATGATCCTCGCCTACGGTTCAGTAAAATGGTGGAAAATCTTCACACCTGACCAATGTTCAGGCATAAACCGTTTTGTAGCACTTTTCGCAGTTCCACTTCTCTCATTCCACTTCATCTCAACCAACAATCCTTATGCCATGAACTACAAATTCATAGCAGCTGATTCACTTCAAAAACTCATCATCTTAACCATCTTATTCATTTGGTCAAGGTTAAGCTCAAGAGGGTCGTTAGAATGGTCCATAACACTCTTTTCACTCTCAACTCTTCCAAACACACTTGTGATGGGCATTCCTTTGTTGAAAGGAATGTATGGTGATGATTCTGGTACCCTCATGGTTCAAATCGTTGTTCTTCAATGTATTATCTGGTATACATTGATGTTGTTTCTTTTTGAGTATAGGGGTGCTAGGATTCTCATTGGAGAACAGTTTCCTGATACAGCAGGCTCTATTATTTCCTTCAAAGTTGATTCCGATGTTCTTTCTTTGGATGGGAAAGAGCCTCTTCAAACTGAAGCTGAAGTTGGTGAAGATGGGAAACTTCATGTTAAAGTAAGAAAATCAACAAGTTCAAGAAGTGAGATTTTCTCTAGGCGTTCTCATGGTGTTAACTCTGGTGTTTCTTTGACACCAAGGCCTTCTAACTTAACAAATGCTGAGATTTATTCTCTACAATCTTCTAGAAATCCTACACCAAGAGGCTCTAGTTTTAATCACACTGATTTTTACTCTATGGTTAATGGGAGAAATGTGAGTCCTAGACAATCTAACTTTGGAAGTTTGGGTTTTGATGAGGAAAGTGGTGTTGGTAGAGTCAATGGTGGTGCTAACAATGTTAATGGTGGAAATGGGTACCCTACTCCTCATAGTGCTGGAATTTTTTCACCTGTGGCTAATAAGAAAAAGGGCCATGGCGGTGGTGGCGATGGTGGAAAAGATCTTCATATGTTTGTTTGGAGTTCAAGTGCTTCACCTGTTTCTGAAGGTGGGATTCATGTCTTTAGAGGTGCTGGAGATTATGGGAATGATCAACTTAATGGGGTAGCTCACCAAAAAGGTTTGACTTTTTTAATGTTTAGGTGGTTTGTTTTTTACATGTTTTTTGTTTGTATTACTAGTATTTGGTTGTTTCTACATTCAATAATGTTTCCTTTTTGGTTGGTTGGTTGTTAGATTATGAAGAATTTGGACATGATGAGTTTAGCTTTGGAAACAGAACTGTTGCTAATGGTGTGGACAAAGATGGACCTGTGTTATCCAAGCTTGGTTCAAGCTCAACTACTGAGCTTCACCCTAAAGATGGATCTCAAGTTGAATCTAAGCCTACTAACATGCCACCTGCAAGTGTTATGACAAGGCTCATCTTGATTATGGTGTGGAGAAAGTTGATTAGGAATCCTAATACTTATTCTAGCCTCATTGGTCTCATTTGGTCTTTGGTTTGTTTCAAGTATGTAACATTCACCTTTATGTTTTTTTGATTTGTTTGATTCATTTTTTGTGCAACTTTTGATCTTGTGCTTTGTTTGTTGCAGGTGGAATGTTGTTATGCCTGCTATTGTTGCTAAATCAATAGCAATTTTATCCGATGCTGGTCTTGGAATGGCCATGTTTAGTCTCGGTACATTTTCGTATTTAATCTGTCGTAAGTTTGATTGATTTTGAGGACTAGTTGTGTGTTGAGTGATTGAAGATTTGAATTTTTTCGTTGGTTTGTAGGTTTGTTCATGGCATTGCAGCCGCGGATTATTGCGTGTGGAAACACGGTTGCTTCTTTCGCAATGGCGGTTCGTTTCCTAACCGGGCCGGCTGTCATGGCTGTTTCATCCATTATTGTAGGACTCAGAGGAGTACTGTTACACATTGCTATTGTACAGGTACCAAGAACAAAACCTAAATTTTTGTTGTTCTTAAATTTTTTGATTCAATAAATTTATGAATGTGTTGTGTTTTTCTAGGCTGCTCTTCCCCAAGGAATTGTTCCATTTGTGTTTGCCAAGGAATACAATGTTCATCCTGACATTCTTAGCACTGGGTTTGAATTTTTATTCTTCTATTCACTTTATGCCACATAGGTTCATAAATGATGTAAAAGTTTTGTTTTTAATGTTGTAAATTTTATTTTTTATGCAGGGTTATATTTGGAATGCTAATTGCTCTTCCTATTACACTAGTTTACTACATTTTGTTGGGGCTTTGAAGTTTGAAGAATTTGAAGAAAAGAAGACTAATTGAAGTGGATTAGGATGTTACATAAATATAACTTTATCTTAGTGTTTTTTTGGGGTATGATCTAACAATGTAGAAATTTGGAAGTTGGGAAGAGATGTATTTTTAGGGCTAAAGCTATGTTAGTTAGGTACTACTAGAAAGAGAAGAAAAAAAAGTTGTAATGGGTTTTTAAAGTCTTTTTTTACTGTCAAACCAACTTTTGCATATTTTGCTTGGATTAACGAGAAAAGAGGAAAGTGAAAGTTGTTTTGTAGTTGTCGACACTTTTTATATTTTATAGGCCAAAAGGAGCACAAAGGGAGTGTGAATCTCAAATATTAACTCAATGGAAAGTAAGAAAGTGGGGAAACCAAACAGGAACTTATGTTGGGTTGTCCCCTTTGATGTTTTTTGTTTTTAACATGAGTACTAGTACTAGCTAGTAGAGGGCACTAGCTGTCTTCCACATAGTTTTTTTTTTTTTTTTTTGTCTTTGTTGATTATATATACACATCTTAAGAAACACCAAAAAGAAATCTCCTTTGTTAATTACTGTATAAATTAAAGTTAAAAATAAATATGTAGGAAGAGTAAATAGGTTAAAAATTTTCCTTCTTTTAATTTGTTTTTTATTTATTTATTTTTATGTTTACAACTCTTGTTTTTGTTTTAATTATATAGATGTCTTTTTAATGTGTTATTTTTTCATTCATTTATTCTTACGTGGTAAAAAGATATAAAGATCTAGTAGATTAAACCGCGCCTAGATTGTTTCATAAAATTGGAACTCAATTGATAATTTTTTTAAATAACTATATTTTTAAAATTTTCTCTCTAAATAATATTACATTTTCAAAAAATTTATCAAATTAATTATTTTTCAAACAATTTTTTTTTTGCCACAGAGGAGTATCCATGCAGTGGCGCATGCATGTATTGTCAGAGAGGAGGCGTCATCTTCTTTGGCTTGACAATGTTATATGGTTTTCTATAAATGCAACCACCCATCCTCTTCATTTTTTCACACTATTTGTCACATAACTCTTAGAAAATGTCTTTAACTCCCTTGCCAAAGTTTTCACTGATCAAAAGAGATGCACATGTTATTTTTTCGGCGACAAAGCCTCCGGTGAAGATCAAACTCTGGAACACGCAGACATTCGAGCATTTTCAGAGGCACTTGATTCGCTGATTGGAAGGAGACATTCCTGAAGGTGAACAGATCAAAAAAATAGAAAGACACATTACAGTGAGGAACAAAAATGAAGTAAGCCGAGCATGGAAAAATGTGAGATGCGACGCTGATGTCATGATGATGATGCTTGGACCAGACGATATTGTGTTGATGGTTTTTATCTTAGATATTATGATTTGTTTAGTTGTTTTGTCTGTTTATCATGTTGTTGTCCTGAGTTTGCGGTGTTGTAATTTTTTGTGTCATTATGTGAAGGTTGTTGTAATCGAATGATAAATTGAACACAAAATGATAACCCGAATTTAAATTGAAATATATTCCGTACAACAAATTAATCACTCTGGAAAGTTTGCTATAAAAAAGTTAGGTTGCAGAGCTAGACCCAATATTCGAACAATTTTTCCGATTGTGTCCGAGAAGACGACATGTACTGGATAATCTTATTATTTTGTTGGCCGTATCCATTTCAGTTCTAATACGAGTGCTTTTCAGACGTCCCTTTTTCTTCCGTCGCATTTGTTCATTGTGCCAAACAATGTCCTCTTGATAAGCAAGCCAATAATCCTCCTTTGCCAACACGGAGAAGGTATTGATGTACACACTTAAAACGCTCTTTACTGTGTACATGGGGGATATGTGTTGTATTGGGTCCAAGCGAACATGTCGCTATGACATGAGAGCAAGGCATACAGAATGCTTGAAAATTTTCGCAATCACATTAACCTATATCTAGTTCGACCCGATAATATCCCCTTGGCCTGCCCTCATTATGATCCATTGTCTCTTGTACACTGAACCAACCTTTAATATAGTGAAACACGATGACACTATGGGTGTTTGCTTTCGCAGCCTCCTCGTTAAATGTTTTCATTGTGCATTCACTGAACAACTTCCCTGATTATAACACTGCACTCCATTTTAAATTTCTTGTGTCAAACAATGACCCCATCCTGAAATATGTTGCTCTAACCAAATCAGTAATTGGTAGGTTTCAGATGCCTTTGAATACAGGGTTTAATGATTCCACCAAATTTGTTGTCATGTGGCCCCATCGTTGACCATTGTCAAATGCCCGAGTCCACTTCTCAATCAGAATGCTATCAATCCACCTCAATGCTTCTGAGTTTGTCAACCGGATTTCTTCGCGATAGTGTCGGAATGATGGTTCTGTTAAGGCATACCCTGCATTAATAACTTTCTTTCGAAGTGTCTTGTCTTTGATATGGAGCATGAAGTTTGTGTGATATGTCTAATGCAATAGACATGTATTAAAAGGGGATCCTGCCAACCGTTATTAGGGTTATTGTATGTACTCATAATCGATGGATGTCTGTCTGAAATCAAACAAAGGTTGGGTTGAGGAGAAACGTGTAATCGGAGATTCTTCAGAAAGAAATTCCATGCACCACTTGTCTCACCTTCAACTAAAGTGAAGGCAATCGGAAAAACATTAATGTTCCCATCTTGTGCCACTTACACGAGTAATGTTCCTTTATACTTCCCGTATAACCAAGTTCCATCAATCTGTATAATAGGTTTGCAAAATGCAAAAGCCTTGATGCATGGTTCAAACGCCCAGAACAATCGATGAAATATTCCATTTCCACTAACACGAGTTCTGTCTGGGGTAAATGCCGGGAGTGTCTCCAAAATTATAACAGTTCCCGGAGCATAATATTTGAGTGCCACCAAAAATCTTGGAAGTTCTTTGTACGATTCCTCCCAATTACCATACACAAGTTCAATTGCCTTAGTCCTCCCGATCCATGCCTTCCTATAAGAGGGAGTATAATTGAATCTTGTAGCGATATGAGAAATAATTGTACTTACCTTTAATGATGGATCCTTGCTAATAAGAGGCAAGATTTCTTGACATATTAGTTGAGAACTAAGTGTTTGATGATCCTGCATCGAAACGGTGGTGATGCAAGTGTGAAATGGATCAACAGAACCTATTTCCTATGAATCACTTCTCTTCCTGTAAGATGCAGTTAACCGAAAAGGGAAAATTGGTTTTTGACGATATAAAATAACGTACCTCTCTGAATCATTTTTATCTATAATGAAGTCAGATAAAATTTCCATGTGGTATTTTTTGATAGCACTAAGACACTCTTCTTTTGTTCAAAATCTGTCTCTAACTTTCAAGGCCCCTTTGGTCTGCATATAAGGATTGTGAAAGATATCTGAGGCTGGTTCATCTTCCCCCAAGTTTAAGTTCGTCATGTGAAATGGAGGTTCGTACGCATGACTCGTAGGTACAAGTTCATACTCTTGATCTGCAACGTTATCATTGACCATAAAATCAATCATTGCCTCATCATCTTCTTCTTCTTGGTCAATAACATCGACTTCGGGATGGTTGTCCTCGTCAGATTCATCCTCTTCTTCAATGTCTTGAGAAGGATCTACCACCTAAGATTGATCTGGTTATTGTAATAAAACATACAACTTAATCTCATCGAAACCGGATTGTTATGAGTTCGAAACATGTTTCGAACATCATCATTGTCGTGCACCTTTAGTTGATAAAATTTGACTTGATTGTTGTCAAATAGAAATGGGGACTTGTAAAGAATTTGGTAAACTAGAGCACACTTCAATTTGGCTTCTAGTCTATCTTTGAAGCATGCAAAACTTGATTTCTTGTTTATCCGAAAGTGGATAAAATCGGTATTACAGAAATTAAAACCGAAGTTATCGCAATTGAACATCTCACTGTTAATATGAGCAATAATAGTTTAATTTTGTGAATTATCCATGTTGTTGAGGCATGCTTTTTGTGAGTTATGGATGTATAATAGTAATCCACCCTACACAAAACGATTAAATAGACTGATGAAAGTATGAAATACCCTCTATACTTTGCATGTATGCGCCACCTAGGGTGACTTGTCCTCTTCTTTTTGAATGCATGCGCCACCTAGGGTGGCTTGTCCTCTTCTTTTTGCATGCATTCGCCACCTAGAGTGGCTAGTCATTAAACAATAAAATTGCATGCATGCCATCTGATCCCTGCCATGCTGCAGGTTTGCATGCATGCAAAAAGTAACAAGCCATGTTGAATGGCGCCTATGTGTATCAAAGAGAGCATGCGCCATCTAGTATGGCGCCTATGTGTATTAAACTAGAGAATGCGTCACCTAGGATGGCTCCTATGTGTATCTCTTGCATGCAAAGTATTGTCACGTAAATGCATAGTGTTCTTCAAGATTTTCCTATAAATATATGTAACATTCACCCTATATGTTTATCACAATCATAACTCACACACTATTTCTTTCTTGAAACATTAACAACACAAGAGTAATCAAGAAAAATGTCTCTCTTGATCATGGGTGATCAACATAGAGAAACTCTCAACAATATTGAAACCTTTGTAAGTGTATTTTCCTCAATACCTATTTTTTGTCGACAAATTTTATTTCCGTAATTCTTATGATTGTTATACGTAAATCTTGTATTTCTTATACGTAATTCATATTTTTAATAGGATGTTAAAAGATTTTGTTTCCGTGTCCATGAGTATGTCCCTTACGACGTTCAAATTGAACCGTAGTTATGACATGTCGGTTTTGGTCTGTTACTCAACATAGTCAATTACCATGTTGACTATAAAATTATTCTCGCATTAATGGAGAGATACATACCCAAAACTCACACCTTTCATCTTCCATGTGGTGAATATACAATCACACTAGAGGACGTGTACATGTTATTCGGTCTATTGATCGATGGTAAGACTGTTAATGGCCGAGTCAACCAAGACAACGCCATATGCGAGGAAATTTTGG